TTGCTTTAGGAGGAACACGGACAAGGCATCATTATTGCTTTTCACATGTCATAGGAGAAAACATAAAAACGGTACGTCAGGATGGAATATTATTTAGCCTTATAAAGGATAGAAATTCTGACCCATGCCACCACAGGGAGGAACCTTGAGGACATTGTGCCATGTGAAAGAAGCCAGTCACATAAAGATAAATACTGTATGGTCCCACTTACATGAGGTCCCTAGAGTTTGACTACTCTGAATATGCACAGAGACGGAAAGTAGAAGGATGGTTGCCGGGGGCAGGGGGAAGTGGGGAGTTGTTGTGTAATGGATTCAGAGTTTCAGTTTTGCAAGATGCAAAGAGTTCTGGAGGTGGATGGTGGTGATGGTTGCACGACAATATGAATGTTCTTAATACAACTAAACTGTACACTTAAGGTGGTTAAGGTGGCAAATTTTATGTGTATTTTGCCGTTTGAAATTTGAAAAATAGAAGGGTACATCAGCTACCACAAATATTGTTGCATAGGGTAATGCAAAGGTGGTACTTAAATTGAACATATATAGGAAATAACTGTACAGATGATACACTAGTGGAAGAAGTTGGGGAAATACTGTAGTATATACTGAGCTCAGACTGAAGGTGCCTCAATGCTCAGCTTGCCCGATTCCACAGGCCTCCATCCACTGCCTCTCACACACACTTCGCTCCACAAATGGCCCGCCCACTGCCTCCAGGAGGGCTACATCCGGTGCCCTCTGGGGTCTGGGCATACCTGGCAGCATCAGGGGTTTGAAATCCTGACATTCACAAAACTCTGTGCTGAACTTTGCTTTAGCGCCGTCAGCCTCGCCATCAGCCATGAACACCTCTGGCAGCGTGTTAGCATCCTGTATCAGGGAAGGGCTATCAGGGTGGGCAGGAGGGACCCAGAGGAGGGCAGTTGGCTCTGGGATGGGCTCCTTCCAAGTGAAACTGAGCAGGTCCCATCCGCTCCTTGCCCTGCCACTCGCTGCCTGCAGACAGACTGGGCTGTGACTGGACTTCTGGGCACCCGAGGACCTAAGAGCTATCCCCCTTCTTCCTGGGTGTCTTCATGCCCAGAGCTACATGCGTATCTGACACACACAGCAGTGTGGTGGTCCTCTGGGAGCCAGTTCATAACTGTGATGCCAGCTGGGAGACTGTAGACAGGTTCCCTTCTGTGGAGCATCTCCCAAACCATGCTCCGCAGAAAATTCGTGGGTATGAAGCACAGAGAGCTTTCCAAGTTCAAATCAGGTTGGGTCTTTATACTGCTGTCCTCAGTTCAAAATGTCTTAAGCTTCTGATGCTCACGATGGCAATAATAATACTCTTAAATAGCAGTTAACCTTTATCAAGGGCTCACTGTGGGCTGGGTGCTACCGCACGGGTCTTACGTGCATTATTTTATTTAATACTCCCAACACCTGAGGCTTATTGAGATGAAAGTAACCTGCCTGAAGTCTGGGCTCTCAGGAAGAGACCGTGGGGAGAAGATGAAGAGGAAGAGAATTAACTACCAATATTCATGCTTGGCTTGAAGCAGCACTTCCTAAACTTTAAAGGGCGCACACATGCCCTGGGAGTCTTGTTAAAAGGCAAATTTTAACTCAGTATATCTTGGGTGGAGCCTGAGGTAGGGCATGTCTAATAGCAGTGGGCTAATGCTGCTGGTCCCAAGACCAGGCTCTGAACAAGGAGGCAGTGGAACACATGTATGTTTTCTCTTGTACCTGGGATGGAATTCATTCACTCATTCATTCATTCATTCATCCATTCATTCATTTGTAGAAGCCATCTAGTAGCAAACACGAGCTTTGCATTTGGAACCAGGTTCCAATCCTAGTTCTGCACTGTTCACTAAATGGGTGTTTTCTCTGAGTCTCAGTTGCCCATCTGTAAAATGGGAATGAAACTCGCATTTTAGAGACTCTTTGTGATTATTAAATGCAATAAATTGTAGCAAAAGTCTGCCCTGGGGCCTAGGGCATGGTGGACATTTCATAATGGTGGTGCTTCAGGAGCTCATTTTACTATTCATGTATTTCCTTCTAACCGAGGTTCCCACATGGTTCCAATAAGTTTATTTACATTAAAATAAATGTATTTATTAAAACAAATTATTTACTATAATATTTATTTACTTACATATTCCCATAAAGATGTCCCAGTGGCTCCAAAGGCCACAGTGATGGGTCCCAGAGGCCCCACCATGAATCGGAGGAACTGGCATAGACGTGTCTTCTGATAATTTCCACAAAAGGTGGAAGAAAATTGTGGAGGAGACAGACACAAGTGATGAGCTGTGGAATTCATTTGGCAAATGACTCCACCAGAAAGGAGTGAGAAATGCGTGTGAGGGGGAGAGAGTGGGAGAGAGCATGGAACTGGGTAAAATGACAACAGATCGCAAGCTGTTAATTATTCAGAGGGAACTAAATATTATGTAGGCAATTACCAACAGGCGTCGGAAAGCCCCACAGGGAAACCTGGTCCTCAGCCGAATTCTGTCTCCCCCTGCAGAAAGGCTGGGGGACAGGTTTTAGCTCGAGGGGCAGGCTCTTCACCCAAGGAGGGGGAGGCAGGGGCCCCTCCGTGTCCAGCGCAGCCAGGACCCAGCGCTGTGCTTTGAAAATCGCTTTACCCACAAGCTCTGGGCCTGGAATACGCAGCCCCCTCCCTGTCTACGCTCCCTCCCCTAAGATGTCATCTTTTGAGACGATTTCATGTGGAAGCATCGCTAAGTAAATTCGCTAAATGCCTATTCATCCCAGTCAGATGGGGATGCAGTGAAGCGGTAAATGTGACAATGGCCCCAGCTCGGGGCCCTGAAAAGCGCTTTCTGGGGCTGCTAAATGGAGCCTCAGCCGCTGACCCTGGGAGGCCTGAGGCTTCGTGAGAGGGGGCCCAGGAGCCCCGGCCCGGCCCCTTCAATCCTGCCACTGAGGCCGCTCAGAGGCCCCTCTTTATTATTCCTGCTGCCAGGGACCCATTCAGAGGTTAACTTGTCCCGGTATTCATCAGGAGGACAATAATGAACTGTCGCAGGGAGTAGAGAGGGGGTTGGTAAACAGGAACTGCTACAGACGCGGAGATGGAACGGGCCTCTATGGTTTGGAAAGAGAGATTGCTTTCATTTCCTTTGCAGGCTGGTTTAGTTTCCACCTCTCCAGCAACTTCAAGAGGCCCTCTGCCCACAGCAACCCGTAACTGGGAGGGAAGCACGCGTGGGCTTTACGTCGCCTGTTTGCGGAGATGCTCCACGTGCGCATGGACACGTGGACTTGGCCTTTTGCCTGTGTCCCTGGGATTCGCCTCTGTGCGCATCCGCAGGACTAAGCTTTCTGCGTGTGTGTCTGGGCGGGTTTACCTTGCTGTATGCACACGGGGTTTTTCTGGCATCTTGCAGCCACTAGAACGGCAGGTTTTGAAGTGGTGTTGATTTCTGTAAATTAGTACGGGATGTCGGCAGTGCTCGTTTCCACTGCAGCCTCTGTTAACTTCTCCGTCCCCCTCCGCTGAAATTATGAGTTGGTCAACAATAGTTGTCCAACCAGAGAGCAGGGGGCTTGGAGTGGCGCCACTGCAGGTGATGCAGGGAACTGGAGGAGGGGGTGAGGGGTGAGGGCGGCCCTGACCGGGTGGTGGGAGGCCCAAAGCAGAGCAGCTCGCATTTATTGTGCACCTACTGTATGCCCTTTAAGTCCACCCAGTTATCCAATCAGTACGTATACCTCCTGTGTGAAGGGCAGCCAGGTGAAGGCCGCCACTCAGGTTGAATGACTTACCGTAGGACACACAGCTGGGTCAGGAGTGGAGCTGGGATCTGTCCCCAGCCCTTTCTGCTTCCAGAGCACAGGCATCGCTTTCTTAGGCACCCGCCTGCCCCCCAGAGTCTAGCCTCCTTTCTCTTCCCAGAGGTGCGCCTTCACCGTTTCTCCCAATTTGAAACAATGGTTAACCCTTTCCTTCTAAGTAAAAATCCCTGAGCCGAGAAGCCAGATGATAAAGGAGCTGTCACTTCAGCACCATTTACCTGTTCGGGTTTATTCAGCGTAAGAGGCAACCGCGTTTCTGGCAGATGGAGACCCCGTGTGACTGCCTTTTAAAGTACCGTCACAGCTGTACGCACAAGCTGATCAGCTGTGACTACACCGCTAGTGCCGAGATTGATGGCGATAAATCTGGGATAACAATGCCGGGAACAGTGTCACCCGTTTGCATCGCACTTCATATTTCTTAAAGTTCTCTCAGTCAGCCTGGGGGTTATGGCTTCATTCATTCATTGACTCATTCATTCCTCAAAACGCATTTGAAGGAGTCAGTTTAAACTCATCTCACCTTGAGTCATCCATTCATCCAACAGACATTAATGTACCTCTTACTATGTGCCAGTGATGAGTGAGTTTCATTAGGTTCTGTCCTCACGGAGCTTACGTCCTAATGTGAGCAAATACAGCTCTTTCAGATGGTGATGAGCTCATGTTGTGAATATAGTGATGTGATGGGGGTGAGGGGAGGCAGGTGCTCCTTTAGGTTGGGCAGCAAAAAAAAAAAAAAAAGCCTCTCTGAAGAGGTGACATTTGAAAGGAGACCTGGATGACAAGAGGAGACATGGAAAGATATGGGGTAGAATTTCCCAGGCACGGCAAGTGCAAAGGCCCTGAGGTTACTCTGTATCTGGCATTGAAGTATTCACTGATGCCTTACGGTTTGCCAAGCCCAGTGTTGGGTACTGGAGATTCCAAAACAAATAAGGTACTATGCTTATTCTCAAGGAGTTCACAGCATATGGAGTATGTAAGAGACAAACAGTCCATTTTAGCATACTGTGGTAAGCTCAGTGATGGCGACACATGAAAGAAGATGCCTTACCTACCTGCATGGTGTGAAAGAAGGAGGGGACCTGGTTTCTGTGACAAAGAAAGGAGCCAGGACACAGTCTCCATGATTTCTGGAGGACCCTGACTTTCCTCTCGGTTTGCTTCCACAGGACAAATGACCAGCTGGTGGCATTTCTCTCCCGATACCGAGATATGAATTTCTTGAAGTCACACGGCCGGGACAATGCCAGGTAGTATATCCTCCCCCTACCCTTGTGCAAAAGGGAAATGGAAATCTGAGTGATCATTTGGGAGCTTCCTTCTAGGCTGGTTTGATGCAGCCAGAGAAAAGTTGAGGATGGGAGAGAGGCATGGCATGGATGGGCCTTGGCCTTTTCTTTGTAGCATCTGAAATGGTGTCTCCTACCAGCCAGGGACAGAGATAACAGGGAATGTGTCTCATCATGTCATAGTCCTTTACACCTTTTCCCCCAAGCCCTTTCATGAGTCCATTATCACATTATGGCTGTCCTTCAAGGAAACTAGGGTAGTCATTTTTATACCCAATTTATTGGTAGGAAGACTGAGGCCCATAGTCTAAGTAAATGATGTCCCCAGATCATTCATTCGGTCAGCCAGTCATTCAACAAATATTCACTTAGTGCCAAGCATGTGCCAGGCACCCTTCTAGAGGAGAACAAGACAAAATCCTCACGCTCATGGAATTTACCTTCTAGCAGGAAAGAGTCTCATACCAGCATGGAGTTGAACTCAAGTATCCCGACTCCCAGTGCTGTGCCCTCACCATTGCCTCACTCTTGCTGCCTAAGATGTTGGCAGGGATTTGAGGCACCAGAAGCCCAACCTGGATCTGTTGTGCCTCTCTCACTTAAACTGAGCAAAGCCAAACAGCATCACTACAGTCCCGCTTTGAGCTGAGTCTAAATCTCCGTGGCCAGAGATCAGCTAGAAGGGACACAGTCTTGAGCACCCTCTGTAGGAGAGACCACAGGGTCCGCTCCACCATCTGGACATAAAACACTGCCCAGGATCACTCTGCCATCTTAGAGCCTTTTCCTAGCGTTGCATTCAGAACTTAATCTGGCAGCTCACAGGATACCTTTAGTGTGTTAATGTGTTTTCTTTGGCCTTCGTGCTGGTTTTGTCTTGTTTAATTCAGGTGCTTCATTTGAAAGTTAATAGCCCCATTTAAAAATAGCAATATTTCCCAGGGAAATCCAGATTTCCAGCTCATCTTAAAAGAGCCAAAGGTCCACTAAATCTGTGCTTGAATTTTCTCATGGAAGTTATGATCTGGTCCTTAGATAAAGCCCACGTTCTGCAGGTTGCTGCAGTCCTTGCTGCCCTCTCCCCTACCTCACCCTGTTGGCATTTCAGTTTGCCGGCTCTGCTGTAGGTGTTCTCTACCACTGCCGATGGAAGTGTCATTTTAGCTGTTTCTGTGCTCCCCTTTACCCAGATATCCACAGAAGGGAGGGACAGAAGCAAGCAGCGAGCTCCATTTCCTGAGCTTTCAAGAAGTAACCCCAGAATCCTTGGGTTGTATCATTTTCCTCAATTTGAACTTTGATTGCATCCAGCTGTCTGTTTCTAGATTGGGCCTGTCCTACTGGCAGCCTGCATTCTTTACACTTAAAAGGAGCCCCCAGACTTGAAGGTGCTCTGTAAATTAGCACAGATTAATATAGCGTGTTCTGGCCACTACACTGGAGAGGCCTGGTGGATAAAGAAGAATGGTAGACATATAGTGGACTGTGTTCCTGCTAAGTGCACGTTGCTCTGCTGGGCCCTTTTCACACGGGATGCAACTTTATTCTTACAGCCACTCAATGTAAAAATACGTATTATTATCTCCATTTGTCAGGAGAAGAAAGGGGAGCTTTGGGAGCCCAAATGATTTTCCCAAAGTCACACAGCTGGTAAGTGCTAGAGTTTGAACCCAATTCTCTGGCCCCAAAGCCCATGGAAGCAGGGTAGAGCTGAACAAGATTCCATGGAGGTGGTAAGTTGTCAGAACTAGACCAGATATTGGCATCCCCACCCTTAGGTAGAGAATGGAGATGCTTCTTCACTTCCAAGTAACATAATACATGTTTTGTGCAAAGTCATATCATTAGAAAGGAATCCACTGTAAGTTGATAGACTTGTGTCTGAATTACATCCACCCTGGTATTGTTGTTTCAGCCTGCTCAGTATTTATTCTCTATCTACTATTTCCAGGCCCTGTGCTAGGAACTGGCTACAACACAGAGGTTAAAATCATGAGGTTTTGAGGTCATACCTCCTGGGTTGAAATTCTGATCCACCACGTCCTGTCTGTGTTTCACTGGACTGGTGACTTAACCTCTCTGAGCCGGTTCCCTTATCTGTCCAAAGGAAACATTAATGGACTTATACGCACGAGATTGTTGGAAGGATTAAATGAGATGTTGTATATAAAGCATTTGGCACATCATAAATGCCCTGTGAGGATGATGGTGGTGGTGGTGGTGGTAGTGATGATGTCATTGCCATGATAAACATTGGACCCAAATATTGCAGGTGGGAGAAATAAATAGATGGTGTATAGGCCAGAGTTGTGCCTCTGGGTGTATGAGTACATCTTGTCCAGTTGATGTGCGTCAGCAGTTGACAGGTGGTACCCAAACAGCACAGCAGGATAAAGGGCAGGATAAAGACGCAGGCTAAGGAGTTGTTGCTTGCATCTCCCTCTAAAACCCCAAAACCCAAGGCTCTCTGGACAAAACAGCTCTCAAGTTCCAACACTCATGCATGAGTCCTCAGCTGGGATTCTCTCACTTAGATGAATTCAGGAGATTAATTTAGAATTAATTCAGTAGTAAAATGAGCCATCAACGGTGACTTTCTCCTCTTTGTCAGTTGAGGCCTCACTGAACAAACCTAGACACGCCCATCTTCCCTCATGTCTCCCACGGGTGCAGCCTGGATGGGGCTTCGCTCTGGCTCTGCACTGATGGCATGTTAGGAAGGACCGTTTTTGGTGGGAAGTGACAGAAACTCAGCTCAAACTCGCTTAAAGTGTAAAGGAAGTTATTGGGTGATGCAACTAAAACATTAGTATCTGACTTCAGACATAGCTGAATCAAGCAGTTCAAATGATATCATCAAGCCCAGACTCTGTTAATTCTTTTTTTTTTCTTTTCTGGCTGCTTAATTATTTCTTATTATTTCTGGAGAGGGTTAAAGTAAAATAAACACATCACAACAAATAGCCAAGTAGTTCACTGGCAAGAATCTTTTTTTTAATTAATATATAACCGACATATTATACTAGTTTCAAGTAAGTGATATAACAATTCAATATATGTATATATTGTAAAATGACCACCACAATAAGTCTAGTTAATATCCATCACCACCCATAGTTACAATCTTTTTTCTCGTGATAAGAACTTTTAAGATCATAGCAAATTTCAAATATGTACAACACAGTGTTATTAACTGTAGTCACCGTGCCATACATTACATCCCCAGAACTTACTTATTTTATAACTGAAAGTTTGTACCTTTTGACCACCCTCACCCATTAACTTCTGTTCTCTTTCCCTTTGTGTTGGTTTAATTTTCTGGCTCCAGACGGTGACCCTTCTCAACGTATTAGCCTCATTTTACTGATAAGGTAACTGAGACTCAGAGAGGTGAAGTAACTTGCTTAAGCTCACGCAACTGGGGCAGGGTTAGGACTCAAACCTAAGTGAGTGTGTCCCCAGAGCCCAAGCTCAAATCCCTGCATGATGCAGCCTGTCTGTGTTCTGGTCCTGCTTTCCTCCAATATGCTGGGTGGCTTTGAGGCAGCCACTCTGCTTCTCTGGGCTTCATTTTCTCCCTTTGAAAAACGAAGTGGTTGAATGACATGATCTCCAAATGCCTTCCCATTCTGATGCTTCATGCTTCGGGACCAGACAGTGTGACAGAGGAAGAGAGTTTAAAAGACAGAGAGATGGAGAGGGACAAAAGCAAGCAGTGAGATACCAAATAGGCCACAGGGCGCCTTAGTTTTTTAATTCCACGTGGTTCCTAATAGCAGTTTTGACCTTCCCGTCCCCAACTTCAGCCTTTAGCAGCCAATTTGGACTTCCAGCTCCCGCTGCTAAGAGATGGCATAAAGGCAAACTGGTACTTTAATAGCTGCCAAATTGGTCCTGACTGTTCCTATAATTAAATCAAGGGGAGTGTTGTGTCCACTGTATTTCCTTGCTTTCCTCCAAAAATGAAGTAGCTATAGATATATTGAAAGACATACAGCACAGTTATCAGTTTCCCAGGTAACCTCTGCAGGCCTAAAAGAAGTAAGTGTCCTGAAGAAGCAGGTCTTGGCAAACATCCCCAGGAACTCCTGGGTTCTGCTCGGGGAGTATTGGAGAAGTTTCCCAAATCTCGGCAGCCTGATCAAGGCTCAGGGTGTAGGGACAGGCCCCTTACAGGGAGATGGAAAGGGAAAATCATTTCCCTCATTCCCAGCCGGAATAGAGTTTCCTCTGGGAATTTCCCAGCCTTGATTGGTCTAAGTTCTCCAAATAATTCAAGGTCACCAGGGCCCCAGTGCTTAGGCCTGGGCCAGAGTGTGGTGTGGTGGTAAGAGCATGGGCAATGGAGTCCAGACACCTGTGCCAAAATGCCAGCTCTGCCGTATGACAGCCAGGGGACTTTGACAAATGGCTCTGACTCTCCATGTCTTCATGTCCTCTTCTTTATAAGATCCGGACAGTGATGTGGGGATCGTGGAGGACTGAGTATCCTCGCTGACCACAGGAAGTGCCGAGCCAGGCGCTTTCGAGTTGTGTTATCCTCTTTTAAAGAGCACAACTGAGGCTTGCAGAGTTGCTTTAACTTGCCCAGGGTCCCACACAGCTGGCATTGGAGTCTGGTTAGGTCTGACTTTTATCCCCCCATGATTAGTGACTGCATCTGAGAGGACCTGTTGTTTTCAGTTCTTGGAGTGTGTGGATGAAAGAGCAAAGCTCTGCTGATTTTAAGCAGAATCATTTTTAAAGGAGCAAGAGAGGAAAATCAGTCTTCCCCCTACTTTCTAGAGTCACCCTATCCCAAAGTGTGTTCACAATCCACCAGTGATATGTGAGATTATTTTGGGGTGTTCATAAATGGGCATCATGGGAGAGTTAGTATTGATTTTATGTATATCAACTAAAATTTATATAATTAGCCCATCTAATCGATGATTCCATGGACATGATGCTTAGAATAAGAC